TGGCACACGTTAGATCCAAGCTCGAATCATCTGCAATCATCTGAAACCCCTATGAAAGTATTTCTTAGATTCTTTTACAAAAAACGATTTACCCCTATCTATACCCAACTAAATTCTTAATAAGCATGCTGAATTTCCACCCATACTATGTTACACGCTCATTCGCCACTTGTTTGTGCCCTCACACTAATAAAATGATCTTCTGACATCATCACCAGAGTTTGATATAATTATTTGCGTCAAGCTGGAGGACTGTGTGCAAAGAATGCACGAAGTTGTGAGAGTGTATGAATGCATAATTGTATTTTATTTTATATTGTATATTTTGCTTATTGGTATTAACCTGTCATAGTTTATAAGGTTTTCTTATTCTTATTGTTTGTTTTATATTTTTCTACCAAGTTTACAATTTGTCATTTGGGCTTTTCTGTTTTGTTTTTTTTTTTTTTTATAATTATTTGAATGTATAACGCCTTGGTTTTATGACTGTAATGTTATGCTATTTACTACTATTTAATAAATAAATCTATAGTTCTATTTACTTATATTTATTTATCTTTATACTTATCTTTATTTATTTATAAGCATTTATTGAATAATAAACCCATTTAAATAGGACATGAATAGTTTGTCACTAATTAATATTGATCGAGCTGTGAGCTTCACCCACGATTGACGAGCACCGCCCGCGAGGATGAGCACCTGATCATCGAGGGATAAGCGCCGCGCGCTTTCAATTAGTTGGGATTATCCTGCACGTGGCGCGGGATTACGTACCTACGCTCTGCACTCATGAGATACTTACATATTTAATTTTATTGATTTTTGATTAAAGTAAACTGAAATAGATACAAACGATACTAATTGATGGAGTACAGTGAGTAGGAAGGTGTTTTAGGTTTGGGATCAGCGGCATCCCTGGACATATATGTAGTTCTTGATATGTACCTAGTTATCTAAGGGTAATAAGGACCATTATCGTTAGCTGTCCCGATTATCGGCTGCTCTATAAAATATGTGACATTACATCCGAGCGAGGGAGCTTTGTGCAACTTTAACATTTAGGTGTAGGTAGGTACACACAACTTACCTTGGAAGTGACTAAAGCAGTCCGCTCTTTAAAGACAGGCAAAGCACCAGGACTCGACCTAATCACGGCGGAAATGTTACAACCCGACTTATCCTCCGCCATCAAAGTTCTGACGTCTCTTATTGTAAAAATTTAGACCCAGGAAGACTCCCAGATGATTGGAATAAAGATGGAGAACCTCTGTGGACGCCCTCTGCCCCATCTAGGGGACATAGGACCATAAGTCAAGTAAGTCAAGACTTATAAGATTCAAGGGTTTCAACATTAACTTTCAAATCCTTGCCTAAGAAAATAAAAGGTGTGATATTATTTTACGTACCTACATAATTATGTAAGTACATAATAACCTCAAGCCTGTCTTTGTAAGCAGGCATGCCAAAACGTTATCAGGCTTTTCATGCATTTATTATTTACTTATTACGATAATATCACACGACAAATATCTATATGTAAGCTATTCAGTCTATATATAGTCGCGGAGAACCTAACGGGTAACCGGGGCTCTGGCTCGACGTGCAGGAGAAGGAACGGGGTGGTTTTTAGTCAGTAAGAGTCTGACACTCCCTCCCGCATCACCCAGGCGGGAGCAGTAATTCGATGATTTTCCCCCCTTAAAAAAAATCAGTCTATATGTAAGTAGTTTGTTGACGTTTCAAAAGTACCAAATTATGGTTTAATTGAAATAAATGCTTTTGAGTTTGAGTTTGAGTACCTATTAAGTATCTATTTTTTATACTATACATAACATTCACCTAATAATCAGAATCTTTGATATAGACACGACACGACGTTAAATCTATAACGAGTTTTATGACAGTCGTTTTCTTCGTAGAAAACAGACGTTAATTCGAGGAAACATATGGATGAAATGGCAGTACTCTGTTTCAAGTGCCGCTGCCCGCTGACGTGAAGGCGGCTCGGCGCGGCGGCTATAAAACTTCAACATTTGATGTATCTGCTCTGCAGACCCGTCATTTACGAACGTTGTATAAATAAACAGCTTTTTATATGTTTTACAACTTAACGTAATTAAATTGTTTGACTTACGAAAATAAAGTCTTTATCTGCCAATTTGAAAATTATTATAGTTCCTTCGTAGGTAACCTAATAAAGATAACATAATATTACTCGTTTTGATCCCCAAAGGGGTAAGCAGATGCACATATTATAAAATGTAAGTTAACACAAGTTATGATGTTATCAGTCGCGTGTAGAAGGAGATGAGCTTATTGTGACACACTGCTCACACTGGGCATAATGTCCTTTATAACTTTTGCAAGATTGGGGAATCAAATACGAATACGTTGCGATAATTCGATCAACAAGCCAGTCCAACCGACCAACCTTGCGGTTTGCCTACAGAATATGTCAACTAATAATGCCTACCTATGCGCAAACGAGGGACTATTTACGGGATACATTTTTTGACGTAAATATGGAAATCGATTAACTCACAAAAATAATTAAGCGTTTGCGATATTTTTTTATTCAAAACCTGAATTGATTTTTGTATTTAAATTGAAGTCCTCATTCGCGTAGGCCCGTCTCTTACTTCCTAGTTCTTCCTTTCTAGCTATATCTTACGTTGCCATTCTATATTTTTCTGATCTGTAGGTTTTCGTTGCCGGACCCAAGAAGCCTGACACATTCATGTGCACTCGCGCCACTCAAGTGTGATACGAGACTGGTCGACTCACGTGTCTTTGGGAAGCCCTTTATGTTATGGTTAAGATGGGTATCGCATTCAAACCACTTTCAAGTTATTTCATGCTGTTGTCATGGTGTAGGTATCACCCAGTGGGGTAATGTTCTTACGTTTCTCTGCAGGTTATAAGATGTATGCATTAAGTACCACCTATGCGTTACTTTTGCGGCACGCTCCGTTGCCGTCGGTAACTTAATTTACATTCTGCAAGCATTTGATAATTCACGAAGATATTTCCATGAGAATAAATAAAGATATGTAAACAGTTTAAATGATTTGACATACGTTTGCTACTTTAGGTGTAGGTACACCCATTTATTGGTTATTACCTAAGTACTGACCAGCATAAATAAGTATAAGCTTCGCCTACCCAAAGATGACACGATGTATGACGATGTTGATTATGTTGAATATCGTGATCAAATAGCCAGCGTAAGCCGGTGCGTAGCGTCGTTCCCACGCTGTGCGCGCGGATTACACGAAATGCCCTTTTGGTGCTTCGCTCCGACACTGACCTGAGCTTTTTGCGCAAAAAGAATGCTCCGATAAATCACGGGTTCATTGTGTGCCGCCTCTGGATAGCGTATTTATGTTTTGTAAAATGCCAGGTTTTTTGTAGTATCGATCAGAGATCATGTCCAATAAAGGAGGTACCTGCTCAATTTTGACGGTCAAGGTGCCGTACGTCACAATAAAACCGTGTGATAACATCAGTGGTGTCCTGCGGATAATGCTCAGTTCCGCGTATAATTCTGCAATATCTTCTAGAGTACAATATATCATGATTTGTTAGGTGATACGCTGTCTCAAAATATTTTCATAGTGAACGTTATCTGAAAGTCATTTTATTTTTCATCAAATGGTATCATATTCTTTAGAAAGTTTATATTTCATTCAATTCTTATGAATGAGTCTTGTTAAAAAAGCAGGCTAATGCTCGTTGTTATATGTATTGTTTGTGCACCTACACCTATTGAGGAGACTCCTGAATTTTTTTAAAACCACAACTTTTGTAAGTCATTATTATTTTCGGAAAGTGAATAAAAAAATATTGGTACTTATTCATTCTTCCACAGATGTAACATCAGTAGTTTGTCCGTTGGACTGGATATCGATTGATATTTTTGGCGACTGTAAGTAGTAGGCCTAGCTAAGTAAAAAAACAGTTTCTGCCCCTAACAAACAAACAAACTGTAAATAACTAAACGGTACGGCTCATTATCATTAATTTTAACATCAACATTTAAAACAAGCATTTAATGTGTGTCGTGTTTAACGAGCATGAATATGAGCATTTTGTTCGTCGGGTAAATTGCGTATAATGAGCGAGGGCGGGGAAAGGCGGAGGCGCGGGCGCCGGCGCAGGTGCACCGCGCGTGCTCCTCACTCGGCACCAGCGCACCAGCAGTGACCGGCATTTGTTCGAAACATGCCAATGAGCTAATTATCTCCAATTTCACTAGCGTGGAGGTTTTGGGGGACGGCCACCCTCGCATTGTAATTAAACGATGTCAGGTAGTCAATTGCAATATTATTTATAAATGTATATTAATATTTATTGTTATTTTCTGTATATCCTGGATAATGAAAGAAATTAGAAGGCAGATACAGATCTTAAAAAAACACATAGATTTTTATTTTTTTAATTACACTACCTAACCATAAGACACGTATTTTTTTTTCTTACGGAATCAAACTTTCGACGATATTATATTGATTTGATATATCGTGTGACGTCACTATATATGCGTAGTAACATAACGATAACGACCTCCCACTCCTAAACTTTAATTCGTTTTATCTGCGTATTGATTTCTTATATGTACTATAGTCGCCTAGCCACTGCACCAAAAGTTTTCTCTTCCAAATTCTTTATTTACCTATTTACTTTCGGCACTTTACCTAAATACCAATTAGTTACTCTTAAGTTCAAAAGGGATTTTGCTTCTGAAGAAAAAAAAATGGTTCTGAAGAAATATGCAAGATGCAACTACCAGAAAGTTAAAGTTCGACGGTTCATTAATCTGCAGACTTCACTTGATACTGGCTGTATAGTCGACAACACTGTATTGAAGACTAGGTTGCCATTTAAGAAAGAAAAAAAATCTGTTTTTAATCTACCTACCAAAAAGTTATTCCCTAGAATGAAATACTGATTGGTTTAATTTTTTAGTCGGTTATTAGGAGATTCAATGAAAAATCAAGTAAAATTTCAGTAAACATTTATTTACAATATTATCACAATAATTATAATTTGTTACATACAGGATGTTGGTAATAAATGGATACATCTGATATACCATGTAATAATAACAAAAGATTATTATTTTTTTCTAATGAGCGTTTCTATTTTCACTTTGGCATTGAGATTTCAAACACGATGGGTGACAGTAGCCCCATGCTGGAACGATATTGGTGAAGAGAAAAAAGAAGTACACCTACTTCAAGACAAAAATTGTAAATAAGAACATTTGATACACCAACAGATGAATTAAGAAATGACATACTTAATTTTGTAAGTTTTAGATTTTAGACTTTTTATGATAGATCTCTTCTACTCTCTTACTTAAGTTGTTAGGTTTAAGATGACTAAGCGCCATAGGGAGAAATAAATACCGGAGTGGATAGATATTGTCCTCGCAAAGTTGTACATAAAGGGCAAGTGAACATACGATGAGAATTCTTGTTGGTGTTGGTTAATATTGTGGGCCTGGATGAGCTCCGAAAAGCGAAAAGATAAGATATACCTAAAACTGATGGACTTCAGGTGCCATGCAAATTAATGTTATTTGGCAGAAAAGACAGAGTGCCCATGGAAGGACCCGTCACATTTCATCCGGATAAGTGACCAGATTTGTCAATATGGACACTCAACATGCCAACTTAGGATATTTCGAATCGACTATGTTGATAAAATTACGTTTGAAAGCTCCGAGTGAATAACATGGCTCGTATTGTTTACAATTTTGTACGTTTTTTCAATTGGTCTTGTCTACTCCAAAGCTATCCATTAATTACTGTTCAGCCTGTCGACAAACTAAACAAGAACATTTATCAATAATAATTACAAATAATGAGAACAAAATATATCAATTACTAACGACTTCATCAATTAGAATACATTTTACATACAGAATTTTAATTTGATTAAGATTGCTATTCTAGACGTAGGTACAGTTCTTAGGCATGTTTTACGATATTGACTACTACAAACAAATAACTATGATAATACTTATTTGAAGTTAGCAAGGTAGGTTATATAGCATTAAGCGAGTATTGTTAACAAACTATATCTTGCACCTATTAGGGATACAACATTCTAATGAAGTTATTCTAGTAATTTACCAGATAACCTAGGTACTGTATTGGGTCGTACCAGTTTAGTCAGATGATTATTAATAAAAAGGATACATATTATTGTATGTAACATTTGAGCGGTTATTGGTTTTGCACAGAGCACGTCGGTTCGTCCTAGATATAAATATCTACATTTTCTTACAACTAACGACTAAACTAACATTGCATGTATCGCCAATGGTTAATCATGACGATTTGTTAATTAATAGATACTACAAATTAATAAATGCTTGGTAAAAGCCATAACATAATATGAAGATAGTTGTCATCTAACGTTTATACTTTATAGTATTTTAAATTATTGATTCTAAAGACAATATACACTCTCTTGTGTTTTCTGCTGAAATAGACCGGTTACCGTCTTCCTGATGTTTTTACGATGAGAGTTACTTTTATGGTACTTATAAGATATACTTATTGTTATGAAGTATTGCAGATCATGTTATTTATGAAATGAGAGCGCCCTGTGAGTGAGGTTTGATGTGTACCGGGTGCGGCGGGTGCGGGTGAGCTGGATGCGCGGCGTGCGGCGCCTGGCGCGGCTGGTGGCAGCGCTGGTGCACGTGCGAGTGCGCTCGTAACTCCTCCCCGTGCTCGCGGTATGCACGCTGTTTATCTTCAAAATCCCGCAGCCTCTGATTATACCTCTCAATTTGATCACGCAATGCAGCGTCCTCAATGGCTGCTCGTTCCTCGTCCAATTCCAAACAGCCTACTCCATCGAGTCGCTCCAAATCAATCCAGCCTCGCCACCTCACGCACACGCCATTCATAATAAATCGGGATACGATGTGGGCCTGTCGACAAAAACGTACTTTTAAAATGATGAACAAAAAAGATAAACAAAAACTTCCACGCTGTTGGTGGCAAAGTTGAAATGCATTTATCAGTCACATTTGGCTTAGAATCGGAACTGATCCTTAAAAAAACACAGGTAGAAAGTGTCCATTCCGGACTATCGTGTAAAATCTATCGATAGAGGCTAGTTTTTGTTGATGACTCATTTAATATGTAGGTAGTTCGAAAAAATATCATTTTTGGAAACTTCAGGGTATTATGATGTTTAGCCTAATTTTACACACAATATTGAATAATAATACTTATATTTTATTTTTATGACCAAAAATTAACTGATGTTTAATGTAAAACAAGAAAATACTCGGTTGTAAGTTTTGGTAACAAAGCAGAAGGACAAAACGACATAAGGCAGACGTGAGTCGATCCAGATCGCGTGCTGCCTTTGTTCCGGCTGCCGCATCCGCTTCCAACAAACCTTTAATTGTGCCACACATTCGACAAGGATGCAATTTTACTAATAACTACTTAGCTTTAGGCTCCTTTAAACTTGTATATTGAACTCCGACGCCTGCCGTATGTTTAAACTTAACATTATTCTTAACTTAACAATGTGTTTACTGAAAAAAACTAAACCTCTGACGAAACAAACATACCTACCTACTCGCTACCGACCCTATGTCTACTTACCTACATATTCAATTACTAATTATAATAAATTCTAAAAATAACCATCAAGTATATTATTATTTTAGTACCTATACGTAGTATACGTTGTATTCGAATAAGCCTGGTATTCATTTATCAGTTCCGTGACATGTTCATATTGAAATTAATCAGGATAAGGAGGGAGTGCAGTGACGCTACGTGGCGGCCATGTTGGCTGGGCGGGTGCGACGAACGGCGTCGGGACGCCCACCAATCCCAGCGCTTTTCCAATATTGATTTCAGGGGAAATTATTTTCTCCCTTTCCCAGCGCGCCAAGTTTGTTACTACTGTTTTATACTTAATATTTCCCTCGTGTCAAGTGCGTGGGGTTATTAAAGAGGGGGTTTGTTACAGGCAAATCTCCAGGGAAACAAAAGCTAATATAGATATGTAGTTTTATGAAAATTGCTCAGCAAGTTCAATAAAATATTGGCCCTGATATTTAAATGAAATAAGTTTGGGAGTGGTTGTCGATTCCCTTTTTTAACAAAAATTAGGTAACATGGACGATTTTGTAATATTAGTACCTAAATAACGGCTAAATATAATACATTTTTTTTCTATGGGGTAGGTACCTACTAATTAAATATCGTCGTTAATAAAGTCAACAAATCTTATTAAAATTATTATCATCGATAAGTTATGTAGCATGTATAAAGCTTGGCGTGACCATAGAGAAAAATGGACATAATTTATCAATCATTTTAAATCTACGAATTGAATATGAAATCTACGAGTGTAGTTTGAAGTATGCTATAATAAAACATCGTTACAAGAAGAGGGCTCGTGCACACTCAAGCGCTTTGTTAAATGAACCGAGTGTAAATAAATATAAGTATTCATACTGCATCACAGCAGGCGGGCTTGACTGCGAGGGGGCTAAATTCAATAAAGTTTGCACCAAATGCGCTCTTCTTGAAATGTTAGTAGGTAAATCAGGTACCTATTACATACCTAAAATACTTAAAGTTTTGCACTCAACAGTTAGGTAGGTTTAGTAAATTTTCTGTTTGAACATAATCAGAAATTCCAAAACTTAAAATTTTCATATTCATAGAAACTCATCACAATAAGAAAATGAATGTACCAATATATACCACAGATTATAATTATAACATGTCAAATGTTTTCATACACAAAAATCGATAATCGGTAAACGCCTAATAATATAGATCCACGTGTCTTAATAACAAAAAACAAGTGAATGTAACATTAATTTAAAAATTGAATTAGACAACAAATTGCTGCGAGCTCTAGCTAAGCAGGTCATGGTGACACATGTGACAGTGAAACAATTGACTACTACTTTATGATCCAGAGTTTAACCTACCGCATATTAGAACTCGTCCCATCTGCATAAGTAGTAAGTAGCCACTTCTTTTAAAGGAATCTATAATGATGATATTAGCTCCTAAATGAATTCGTCGTCATGTCTCATCATCACGCACACATGACATTAGAAGGACCAGAATTATTCGGTCAAGAAAATATGTCTTTTACTCAAGATTGTATTAAGAAGTGGCTGAGCGTGACCGACACGTTACATGCGGTGTTACGCCTTTATATTTTTGTCATTAGGAGCTTCAAAATGTATGTCTTAATTTTAGTTATGGAGAATGGGCCGGAAACTCGGAGCGCTGATGACGCGCGTCCGAATAGAAAGACGGTTGACGAATGAGGCTATCAAGTACTCTCATACATTGGTACAAGCCGACGTAATAACTATGATTCATACAGCTTTATTGTGTTGTTGTATTATAAAATAACTGTGCGTGCCTCGATCACTAATTGAGGTTATTATTTTTCCGGTATAATTATTCGTATGTATATGTTGACAATGTCCTAATTCCCTATTAAACAGCTAAGTCTACGAAACCGTACGCTTTCACCCTTCTTCCAGGATTCCAGATGTAATTAACTACCCCCATTAGGGACACGGTCCTGGATACTAGAATACTAAAAACTATTAGGTTATTTAACAATATTTGATGATGGTATAACAAGGAAACGCATTTTTGCAATACGGAGCAATGAGGGAGACGTGTTGTTCTTATGAATATCTTTAAACTTGTGCAATAATAAATGATACAAGGTTCATATCCCAAAGAAAATGTCATTCAGTTTTGGGGAATAACAAAAATTGTTTCTACGTTGTGTTAAACACTTGGTATTATTATTTTTAAGTAAGAGTTGAATTATCATAATTAATGTTTCATTGATTATTCATCTCATAGTTTATCTGGTCATCGTCGTCTGTCTAGTATAATTTTTATCTAATTCTTCGATAAATACATAAATATACAGATATTGACGTACTTCTGTCATTTAGTCATGAATTCATATCTATTTATTTATAAGAAGGTTTTAATAACGGTTATAATAACGTACCCAATTGATAAACCTAAATATTGAATAGGTACTTCATCATATAAATGAATTGCGACTTATGTACAGTGTTTATTTCATGGGCACCTATGTAGATTCTAGACGCTCTCTAAATGAATAGTAACAGTCGCCATCTAATCTATTCTAAATCAAGGAATATCTATTGTAGCCAAGTAACCGTAGGCTTCAATTCTGTAAAGTAAAAGAACCTTGTAAAATGTAAAAATAAACATAATTTTCTAAACTATTTTATGTTTTTTACCACCCCAATACTAAGTGGGAGACGCCTAAAAGATATTAAGTTCGTTTATGTACTTACGTTTTGTGCATGTGTAGGTAATAAATAAAAATGTACTTATAACACATCTTAATAGGTAGGTATACCTTGGGTACTTTTCTTATTTTACTTTATGTAAGTAATCTAATTATCTGTTTGTAATATGAACAGTACAAATTGATTCTGTTATTACTACTATGATACCTTTCACTTCAAAAGGTGACTTGTGCGCGTAACTTAACGACACGCCTTTGCCGTTTGGAAAACCCATGGAAAAAACCGTGCCAGCTTGTACGCGATGACTTTAAATATAATCCTAAGATTTAGAATATTCATAAATATAAAATAATCTTGCACATTATTGATTAATCATACTTTAATGCCCAAAAATTATTTTCTTATAACGAACTACGTGTAGGTATTCGAACTACAACTTGTATGTGATACTGATAACGTTTGTTTGAAAGGAAAATACTGGCATTAATGTCTAAAAGGAAGGCAATGTGCGTATTTAATTACCTTGCCACTCTCTTTTTGGAAGTCGCAGCCTCGGTTGTTGTAGGGCGAGTGGTCGAACACCAGCTGTAAGTTGGTGCCAGTGGCGGTGAACGCGATCTCTGTGTGTCCTTCGCGGCAACCGCTTTGGAACCGCATCTGGCGTTCCTCCGGAGGCCTGTCGCGGTACCCTGTGTACCTCACCTGACACCACGTAAATATCAATTAGCTTTCACTATAATAAACGTCATCATGCTTTATTTAGGGTACTTACGTAAATGTTACCAGTTTAGTTGTGGCGATGGGTTTGATATTTTCTAATTTAAATGTCATGTGACTATTGAAACACAAGGATATTTTTGTTTTCGTTTGAAGTCTATATGAGTGACTTTTAAATACAATAAAACCATTAACTACGAATAAAGTACTATTAAAGGAAAATAATACCAAGAACAATAAAATGTTTCCAAACGGATGACTTATTAATTTAATGTAATTTTCCTGTTAGCAAACGATTAAAATTATGCCAAATGGCCATTAACATTTGTATAATATTCTACTAGTAAGCATTATTTAAACGATATTAAAATTGTATTTTAATGACTGCATTACGTACCTCACTTTCTCTGCTCAGTCTTTTAAAGAGATCGTCGGATTCAAATTTGGCTTTTTGATCAGGAACTACCCGTGGCATTTTAAAGATGAACCTTGGTTTAGGCTGTTCGTACAGTCCAATGGAATCGAAAGGCAACATGCCTGCCAAAGCAGCTGGATCACTCATGGCGTGCATTACACGAATATTAGAAATGCACTAGTATATTATGTTCACCATCACAGCCGAGTTCGAACGCGCACACCCGCACTGACTCAGCGACACTGATGATTCAAATGGTTGTTCCACGCTAAAGTAGTGTCCGTGCGACACGGCTACCTGCCACTGCGACAACCGCTTACTGAATGAGCGCTCGCATAAAGGTTCAGGGAGAATTTCCACCAGGGCGGAGTCTTTGCCTGGTGGGGAGCAATGGGCCAATGACGGGGCCCTGCGGCACCGCCCGACGCCTTCTCTACGCGCTTTCGGGAGCTTTCAAGCGAAAAGAGGGTTTTCCCCCTCGAAACTGTTCAAAATAAATACTGTAAACGACAAAACACATGAATTTATAATGATGGGCATTATCCTCTGTCGACGTTTGAAGTGTTTTATGTATTTGTATCAGATCTTTTGTTCCTTTGTAACGAGATAAATGTACGTTATATACAGTGTTATAAAAGGGGAGTAGGATCCCAGGATGCGATAGAGCGCGTGAAACGTGATATTTTTGTAAGGCTGATGAAAGCTGCATTTATTGGACGCCCAGTAGCCTAATTGTATTCCATCATGGCACACATTCAATGAAAGGGTCTCAATGTACTTACCTACTAATTATTATTACTAGTAACACATACTTGTTATTGATATGGCGTCTGAACTCGACATTACTTCGTATCAAGTCGTGTAGCTAAGCTTAGTTGCCCGATCGGGCGAACTCGTGAACAAGGTCAAATCTTGATTTGATTGATTTTTTATTTAAGTTTATTAAATAAAATCGGTTCTTAATGAGAATTACCTTAAGTATGGGGAGTAAGTACTAATCCATACAAGTAAGTACTAATCCAGTAGATTTGGGTATAGTGTTTGTTCACCAGCGTAATTAGTGCCTTTTAGGTAAGTGTTCTCGAATTTTATAAGCATATAACAATAAAAGTCCAGAATATCTTACTCCCAGTCCCAGGATTCAATTCTAAAAGGGATTTAAATCTATTTGGAGAAAATCCCTACATAAGTAGTACGAGTATGTAATTTGTAATGTAGGTATGTTTTACCTATACATAAATGAATTATTTCCGTTTGGATGGGTATATTTTATTAGTCCCATCAGTTTAATTTATTTATCAGGATGTAGGTATAGTTTTTAGTATTGTCCATCTATATATCTAATAGATACCTACTAACCATATTTTTCTAAGATAACCAGACTTTGTGCTCATAATTGCCCAAATTATGTTTCAGATTAATCATATTATCTTTCAAATACTTTCTAAACAAAAAAACATAAACTAATTCTTACTTTTCTTATTAAATAGTTCATCGTCTCAGTTGTTACCTGTGTAGGTTTATCTATATTACAGAATCTTGAATCTAAGACCGCACTTATCCGATTATTGTTTTTTAAGATTGTAAGTACTGTTCATATAGTGGTGGATTAGACAAATATAGCGTCAATTACCTGATACAGATCTAAACATTTGGACAGAAGTGAAACGTCTCAATGATCGCAGACATCGAACCGTTTAATGTGTCTGTTTTGGTAACAAAGGGCGGCAAGCCTTGTGAAATGTATCGAGTGCCGTCGAAAGCGTCCAACTACGATCGACAATCGATGATAAACGTTAGCTAAGTGTTGAATTGTTACTGCTTTTTATATTGAAACTGTTTTTGTTGTCGCATTGCTTAAGCACTTAAGAAACTTCTTAAATTTCAACGGAAAACGATTGTATTTTTGATGGAAGTGAGATATAATTATATTTATACTTAGGTATTGGAGGTGGCACCTATATCTTACCTATACACATTTAAAAGTATGTAGCTCTCATTAAAGTCTAGTTTCTAATTCAATTTACCTATCTTAAGCTACATATTGACTCTTATCTACTGTGCGTTCCACAACCTACAGCAGTAAGATAAACTAAAAGTTAAGTATTCAATAATGAATGTAATCTCTGATAAATCTTTACTTGTTACTCGTTATAGACGTGAATAATTAACTACAAATTGCTATAATAAACATGCCAGAAATATTTGAATTGTCACGTATCTCTTTATTGCGAAGGGATGGCCACGTGGCGGGCGCTACAACGTTTGATCTTTATGCAAGCTCTCGTGCGGAGCTTTGACGAAACTCAGAACAATCCTCCCACGTGTCACAAAAATTCATAACAAGTATTTTTTATAAGAGGGTTCAGTTCAATATTCAATACTTTGTAGTTTTTACTGTAGGTTTACTTTACTTATTACATTATTAAAAAGACGACAATTTAATTATGTGAAATGAATGATTCATTCATTCAATTGTTGAATTGAAAATCGAACAATTTTTTTTTCAGATTTTAATTTCAGCAGTGAATCCAGGTGATCCTTCAATCTATCAATGATCCAGGATCTTAGAACATAACGAGGCCTGAAATGTTTAGGTATACCTAATACTTATCTACACAGACTTTATTTCTACTTCCAACTTTACTGGGGCCTTTGCACAGCACTACGGTCTGGTCTGGGGCTAGCCTGTAGAGAATATACCTTCTTAGATATTAGTGTAGGCAGTACCGTCTTTACCATAAGGGCACTCAGGGCTTGTGCCCAGGGCCCTCATCCTCAGGGTGCCCGAAGGACCGAAAATTTCTACAACAGACACATATACAGCCGCTGCACATTGCGCGGCAATCGGCTCAGCGCATGCTTGGAGAGGGGCCAGTTCCCGCTGCTCTGGAAAGCGGGAAAACTGATCCTCGTGCGGAAGACGGGGCGCCCTGCGGACTATCCGTCCGCATAACGGCCCATAGTGCTGCTCGACGAGGTGGGAAAAGTCTTCGAGAGAATAATTTCGAACCGCCTCGTCGCGCACCTGACGGACATTGGGCCGGACCTGTCGGACGGCCAGTTCGGCTTCCGCAGAGGGCGCTCCACGGTGGACGCCATCATGCGCGTTAGGGACCGGACGACGGGGACTGCAGTGTCCAGGGGTAAGGTCGTAGTGGCGGTGTCTCTGGACATCGCCAACGCCTTCAACTCCCTGCCCTGGAGCTGCATCTTGGAGGCACTCCGATATCATCGGGTGCCTACCTACCTCCGTCGTGTAATCGAGGCTTACCTGACGGACAGGTCCGTCAGCTACCCCGGTCACCGGGGCGAGTGGAACCGGCGAGAGATGTCACGCGGTGTTCCACAGGGTTCGGTTCTGGGGCCGCTCCTGTGGAACATCGGCTATGACTGGGTGCTGCGCACCGACCTCCCGAACGGCGTTAGCACAATATGCTACGCCGACGATACGCTGGTGCTAGCGCACGGGAGGTCACACCAGGCGGCGGCCGACTTAATGGCGACAGCGGTTGCGACAGTCGTTGAGAGAATCCGGCAGTTGGGACTCGAGGTGGCGCTCCACAAGTCCGAGGCCATGTGTTTTCATGGCCGCGGGAACGCGCCACCTCCGGGTGGGTCCCAAATAACGGCGGGAGGAGTTACCATCGGCGTCGAGACGACGATGAAGTACCTAGGACTCGTCCTCGACAGTCGGTGGAACTTCATTGAGCACTTCCGACGTTTGGCTCCAAAGTTGGAGAGGACGGGGGCTGCGTTTAAACGCATCCTCCCCAACCTCGGGGGGCCAAACGCCTCCTGCCGGAGGTTATACGCCGGGGTCGTGCGGTCCATGGCCCTCTACGGCGCCCCTGTTTGGGCGCCTAACCTGTTGCGGCGTCCCGCTCGGACGCTGCTCATGGCACAGAGGGTCATGGCGATCCGAATGATCCGCGGATACCGCACGATCTCTGGGGAGTCGGCGAACCTCCTTGCCGGATTACCGCCGTGGGATCTGGAGGCGAAGGTGCTCGCGCGCGTGCACAGCATGCGCGCGGAGGCACGTCGCCGGGGCGAAACTCCGCTGCCGCGCCAGATAAGTGCGTGGCGGGATGAGCTCCGGCGCGATCTCATGGCGGAATGGCAGCAACGACTGTCGCAACCGAGGGCTGGGCTCGCTGCCATCGCAGCGGTAAGTCCCCTCTTTGAGGAGTGGCTTGAGAGACGCTACGGCGTCCTCACCTACCGCCTGACGCAGGTCCTCACCGGACATGGGAGTTTTGGGAGGTACCTGTGTCTGATGGGGCGGGAGGAAACGTCTGGGTGTAATCACTGCGAGGACCGCCCTAAGGACACGGTGGAACACACTGTAGCCGCTCAAGCCGCTGTAGCCGGTTCGATACTCGCACGGGGCGAATCTTTGTGTGACTGTGATCCACAAATTGTTGTTTCGGGTTAGGGTGTCATTTGTATGTGAACATATATGATTGTAAATGCACCCACGGTACAGGAAAAACCCTAGTGAGGTGCAACGTTAAAACAAAAGCAACATTCCACAAGGGCACCGAATTATTGTGTGCCCAAGGGCCGTGCAGTTTAAGACGGGCCCTATCTGAGGGTAGGGATATCCAGAGGCTACTGTGGATCACGAAATATCAGTAGATTTTCTGTTAAAAAAATGGTTTTGCTATTTAATTCTAGTTTCCAAATATAATCCAAGGAAAACTTATAAGGTGATAAAGTTAACCTATACTGTTGCGTGCTGTCCAACGTGCGTAGGTACAACCTATGATATTTGAATGCAGTTTCATTTCTTTTAAATTTCAAAAATAAAGGAAGGTTGTTTGAGTAAAATTTTCTATCTAAAGTATTAAGAGACTTTCCGTTCAGGTGACATTACAAAATTCCACCCTGTATACCTTAATATGAACATTCGGCAAGGAATTCACGACAACATACCAATGTGGCGATTCTGCTCCAAAAAAAATTTAGAATATTTCTTGTTTTGTTTGTATTGTTCCTATTATTCTGAACTCTGTTTATTTCTAAAGGCGAGTTAATATTTTATTAATTTTTCTCAGTTTCACTTAGTCTAGAAGTCAGTTGAATGGACCTTCTATTGTATATTGTAAGTAAGGAGGTATATCTCTGGTCTCTGCCTACCTCTATAGTAGTTAGGTGTGATCTTATATCGCATTAGGTCCTATCATAACCATCATGAATTCAAGTAGGTCGAACGTAAGTACTAGTCGAAAATACCGGAAAGATTGTAATAATACGAATTTTTTTTTTATTAAACAAGATTTGCACTAGACATGAATACTTATTTAGATTAATCTGGGCACATTAAATTAAAAGTT